CTTACTAGTCAATCCTTATTTGGGACCATTGCCATCATGCTTCCATCTCTTGTTGTTGAACTTTGACCTTTGTCCATGTTCCACAATGTTTGCTTTAGCCTACATGACATGGTTTCCTAACTTCTTGTCGGAACCACAGTTGTCCACCTCAATTCTGAGTCTCATCATCAGTTCCTCCAATTTCATCTTCTTGGGCTTATGCTTTAAATAATTCTTGAATTCTTTTTGGGATAGTGGCACTTTTTCAATGATTGCCGTTACTTGGAAAGATTCACTGAGAATGATCCCTTCCACATGTATGTCATGGAGAATTAATTGAAGATCTTGAACCTGGCTAATAACCATCTTGGAATCCATCATTTTAAAATCCAGAAAATGGCCAACAACAAATTTCTTTATACCGGCATCCTCTGTCTTATATTTATGATCTAGAGATTCTCACAGTTCTTTAATAGTGCTTTTGACACTATACACATTGTACAGTGTTTGTCCGATATCCAATTTGCATCGCTGTACCTCTTGCTTCGGTGCTTCGAGTTTTAATGGCGTCTACTTCCCAAGATGCAACGACTACTACTTGATTTGCAGCATTACAAAATCAAGCCTTGCAAACCAAATTATGCTGTAACTCTTTCTCTTTCTTTTCCTAGAAACTAAAATGCAAATAGATGCAGGAGTAACAAGAGGATGAATAGAAGAAGAAATGGAAGAGTTTTGGAAAATTTCAATGCCCTAGAATTGCTGGATGATAGACTATTTATAGGAGGAATTGTGGCTATTCGAACAGGTGCCAACAGATAAGTAATTGTTCGGACAGATTCAAAAAAAAAAACCCTGTTTGGACAGATACAGATCTGTCTGGTACAAATTCAACAGGTATGAACCTGTTTTGAACCCTTTGAAGCTGTTCGGGTGGGCATGAACCAGTTAGGGATCTGTTTGGGTGAAGGAAAAATCTGGACTAATTTATTATGAATTTTGAAACCAAAATTAAAAATAAATAAATAACAAATGTTTTTTGTCCAAAAAAATAAGTATTGGACCGGACAAGCCCAACCCAACCTCACACCACGCACCCAGGCCCAGCCCGCTCGGACAGACGATTGCGGCGCACATATGTGGTTTTTTATTTTGGGTCCAGTGGGTCTAGCCCACTTTACCCATAACCCTACCCTTCCACAAATTTGGGTACCCCTTGGGGTCCATCCAAAGTATTCCAAGATAGTGTATATAAACCCATTCAAAACCTTAAGCCTTTCCAATGTGGGACAAGCACATCTCACAAATGTGTAGGAAACCCACCTAAAGTCATTTTCATAAACCCGAAAACGCTCATTGAATTCTCATTCATCCGGAAATGGTTTTGTGCAACCAAATACACGATGTTATTCACTACGCGGCATTAAACATGAACCCAATGAGAAGCGTTAAAAATAACGTTTGGGTTCTACCTTAATTAATGCTCAAAGTTAGCAAAAAAATAAGATTTTTTCAAAGCCTCCAAAGCCATTTTCCAACAGAGAGAGATAGAAAGAGGGAGAAAGAGAGAGATCGAGAAGGATTTCGGGCGTTGATGTTCGCTGCCATTGATTTCACGAGATGGAGTCGTTGCTGGTGAAGAACTCAAGAGGAAGGGAAAAGATGCAAGGAAGATATGGGAAGGAAAATTTCAACTCTATTTTACAGTTTTTGATTTTTTTTTTTTTTTCAAGTTGATCTAAGTCGTATATTTTGAATAGGATAACGTGGCCCAATTTAAACCATCACTCGAAAGAAAGACAGGAGGGACCTGATTGGAGAGGATTTGGACTTTGCTTGCCAAACATCAACATCTACCCAAAAAAACAAATATAAATAAATTAAAGTGTCAGAGTGGAGGCTTTGGTGAACCATGATGACTTGGTTGGAAAAAAAAAAAAAAAAAAATGAAGGCAAAGGTTAAAAGGATGCTACATCCTTATCCAAAAACTAACTCAATGTGTCGGTGTGCTTGATCTATAATATTTTGTGATTTGTTTATAATATTTATTTTATTCTTTTGATTATGTAAGTACATAATTTTTAGGGTAAATTATAGTTATTTTTCTTCAAATTTAAAGAGAATACATAAAGCTTTACAAGTCTAAAGTATATTAGGTTTTCTTAAAAATTTAATTCAAATAATATTTAACTATTAGTAGATGAGTGATTAAAATAAAATTCAAATAAAACTTGAAGAATAAAATGCATGTAGCTTACATTTAAAATTTATATCAAATGACATATTAGTAAAAATAGAATTAATTATACAAAGACTCACTCAATTATTAGGTAATATCAATCTTCATAACATTTGGTGTAAAGATACAAGTTTTTAAAAATTATTTAATAATATTAACAAGACCACTTTTTTCATTTTTCATTTTTTTTTATTTTTAAGGAGGAGGTTTTCTCCAGTCTATTTATTTAGAGTGTAGGCTATTTTTGGCCCAATGTGGGTGCACTTCATTAATTAGAAGCGTTCATTTTTTTTTGTCTTTTATTTATGAAAAAATTAAATTATTTAGATATTGGTAATCACATATATGGATCACATTTCTTTTAAAAAAGAAAATAGATGGTTTACTTTTTAAAATTAACTTGTCATCTATTTTTATAAAAATATTTTTGTAATGCAAACATGTGACTAATATTATCTAATCAATATAATTTTTTCCATTATAATTTACTCAAGAGATAAGAAAATAAACAGTTAAAATCAATATAAAATGAGCTAATCATACATCCAAAATCACTGAAAATAGATCCTACACCTGTCAACTCGTTGCATTTTTTTTAAAAACCAATATAAATATATTATAAAAAAACAGTATGCTGTGGGTTGACTATTCATTTTTATTTTTGTCATTTTTTATTTACTGTTTGATGGGGTATAGTGTACAATTTTTAAATATTAAAATATTATTTATATGAGACTGATGGTATAAATAATAGTGGAGAGTTTACCACTTCAATGATAAATGTAAATGGTGAAATTCATTTAATTAATATAATTAATTACAATAAAATTAAATATTCAAAAATCAGAACTTTGTTCAAAGAGACAAAATATGATAAATGAAACTAAGGTCAAGTTTGACAAGTTGAAAAAAAATTAAAAAATTAAACAGTTACTCAAAAAGTTAAAAAGTTATCATTATTCATCAAAAGTCAAAAATTACGGTTGCACAACTCTCAATCTTAATTTTCCTTTACACACTAATTTATACAATTTTTTAATACATATTTTTTCATAAAAAGTCAAAAAGCTAACCCAAACATCTATATTTTTTTCCTCAATTTTTTAGTCCAAAAAGATAAAAAGTGTACTTATTTAGGACACCTCAAATAACCTCTAAAACACTGCCTCGTTCAAAAAAAAAAAAAAAAAGCACTGTCACGAAAGTATTGTGTAGCAGCAGTTTTATTGTTGTAATGTAATTAATTATAAATAAAAGATAACAGGCTACAAAGAAATTCAAAATTCAAAATTTCAAACACGAAAACAAAGGATCCAAGCCAAACAGACTATGGAGGACTTTTGAGAGATGAGACAGGTACCTGGTCATGGGGCTACTATAACAAATTGGGCCATTGCACAAATTTGGAAGCAGAAATTTAGACAATATATCGAGGATTCACCATCTTGGTCCAGAAAGGGGTTACCAATGTGGAAGTTGAAACAGATTCAAAATAAGCCATGCACCAAATTCAACATGGACCACATCCAAATTCTCCTCTCAAGGCCCTCATTGAAGATGCTAAATTCCTCCTACAAATATGTCACTATTCTCTCCTCCATACCTTGAGAGAGGGCAACAAAGTAGCTGATAGATTAGCTAATTTGGGAGTAGCCCAGGACGAACATGTAATGATCCTTGAGGATCCTCCTACGGAAGTCACAACTCTCCTCATAGATGACATGACTGGAGTGTCTGTTAAGAGGGACTAACCCTCTGGTTGTTGTTCTGAACTCATTTTCTGCTGTGTTTGCTTTAATTTCCTTTGAATAAAAAAATAAAAAATAAAAACACAAAAACAAAGAGGCTAAAATTTAGGCCCATTAGCCCGCTAGGACCAACCTCATTGGGTAGAACTTGAACTCAGCTCAATGTGGCCTAATGCCGATACCTACTTTGAGTGTACATTGTAGAACGACACCAAAAATAAATAAATAAAATAAAATAAAATGAAGAAGAAGAAGACACTACAACAAAATTAAATTTGTACGGCTTGCGATTCATACCGTAAAAACTCTTTCACGGCATGCACACAAATGCCGTTATATGACATGCCGTGAAAAGTTGAGCATCATTTACGGCATGCAGGTAAAGTTGTAAAAAGTAAAAAATTAAACATTAATGACATACTTTGTATGTCGTATATAACTTTTTACGACATTTTTGTCATGCCATAAATCATCTTACTTTCCGTGGCATAATTTTGCATGCCGTAAAAGGATATTTTTAAAAAATTAATAGCATACTTTGTATGCCGTATATAATGTTTTACGGCACTTTCTTGCATGTTATAAATCATCACACTTTTCACGACATAATTTTGTATGTCGTAGAAGGTTATTTTTAATATATTTATGACATACTTTATATGCCGTATATAGTCTTTTACGATATTTTCTTGCATGTCATAAATGTATTTCTAGTTCATAGATGTATTTCTAGCATACTTGCATATGAAGTGGAAGGATTGTTCTCATCATTTTCCTTCTACTAGTTGCATAGCCATCAAAGCTGCCCAGAAAATTAAAACAATATGCAAGACAGTAACTAAATTTTCAATAGGTATGGCCATTTTCTTGCATGTCATAAATGTATTTCTAGTTCATAGATGTATTTCTAGCATACTTGCATATGAAGTGGAAGGATTGTTCTCATCATTTTCCTTCTACTAGTTGCATAGCCATCAAAGCTGCCCAGAAAATTAAAACAATATGCAAGACAGTAACTAAAATTTTCAATAGGTATGGCAAAACTATTACCAACTTCATTCACAATGATACCATAAAAATCATATCATAGTTCCTACTTTACAACAATCACCCGATGTAAATACAAATGACAACTACCAATACAAAATTTGCAAAGAAAGAACTTCAAGAAAATGTTACAACAAACATTCAACAAATAAGTTACCAAATCATAAAAAAAATAAATAAAATAAAATAAAAAAAAAGGGTACACAATTTGTGTGCACATACACTTATTAATCGAATTTATCAAGACCCCCCTGACCCTCCTGCCTCCGCCCCTGATTACATATACAGCATATTGTCTACACCATGGTCAAGTTACCTTTCTAAAATATTCAAGAGCCTCTGCACTGGCTGTACATAGATCTATGTAGAGATGAAGTCATGTTATTAAAACTCCGTGGTGCTTTTCCTTAAGTAAGCCAGCAGCAGGGTTTATAAAATTTTCATCCAGGTCCGGGACTTTCTTTATAATCCTAATAGAGCACAGTGCTGCCTGCATTACACGGTGAATTGAGTACACAACTAAAATAAACATAAAAGATAGGAGAAGAGAAGAGAATGAGAAAAACATAAAGATCAAGCAGTACAGAATTTCACATTGGTCAACTACATAATTCATGTAAGGAAACTCATGCCATCTAATTGCAATCTTTTAACTTCACCTTCAACAAAGCAACATCAAAAATAGCAATAACTTCAAGAGTCCAAGATTGGGGGCCTTACAATCCCATACCAGCACCAAGCCCATTATCTACAAACATTGACCCCAAGGTTGATAAGGAGCCTACCTCAATAAGTAAAACCAAAGAAATCAGATATTAGAAAGAGACACATCCTGATGGTTATAAGGTTGCAGTTGGAAATATAGATGACCTCTTCCAAGAGAACTTTGTGGTAATTGTTGTATTTGTTTTTTTCCTCCTCCTATTTGCTCATTTGTTGCAGTGGGTTTTTTTTTGGTGGGGGGGGGAAGGGGGGAGGGCTCTTCTAAAGCACTTAGTGGCACATTGTTCCTTATTTCATAATTAATTATGCAGAATTTTTATGCCAGTTGCATGTTGACATATGTGTCATAATGTAATGGAAACTAAAAACACTTCATTGTACCATGCACAGCTGAATATCAATTTCCATATGAGAATTACATGGATCTAGACCTTATGACAATACCTAACTACATAGACATACCACAAGAAGCCTTCAAATGAAGCATGACTTTAGCGGAATATTCATATTGCATATATAACTCAAATCAACATGATAATTTAACTACTAGATTTCTTATGGCGAAAAAATCTGACGTTCAAAAGAGAGAGGGAGCCAAAGTAGTTGTACCTTAGATTTCTAAAATAAGGTTTGATATTCAAGTGTATGGAAAAACATTAAACATAAAGCAACAAACACAAATAAACAATTTCCAAGAGCACTTATTATTAGTGATGACACAGTCTCAACTCTCCCCAACATTGAGAAATCAGTCAACCATAAACAAGGAACAAACTCAACTTCACATCCGAACAAGGGCATAAGGATGAGCAACCCACTATCCATCAGACCTATATACAAAAACACACACATTGTATTCTTTTCAGTTAGAGCCAAGAGCCCCCCAAACCCACTCCTCAATTCTCTCTCCCCTCTTTACTTTCTTTTATTCTCTTCTCTTCATTCAGCAAATACATATATGCACTTTTAACTTAATCACTTTAATGGGCTGAAATCAATCATTAATTGAACCACCAAGAGTCCAACAAAATCAAACTGGTTTCAGAGATCCCCTGAATCTTTACTCAATACTATTACTAGAACAAGCACAACGCTATAAGCCCCAACAACTTGCCAACATAGAGCCAGCAATTTTTCCAACTTTGGAGCTTCAAATGTGCAGCACAAGTTGGCAGTTAAATATGAGAGAGAGAGATTAGCAGTTAAATATGAAACCCCATTGAATCATTGGGTGCTACTTTGTTGCAGTTGAGCTTGACTTGTTTTGATTTGATCAAACTTGTTAGGTAGATAAGTTAAGGTTGAACATATTCCTAAATTGGAACTCAACTCGAACTCTGCTTGTGTCTTGCTTAGCATTTAATTTTTAAACAAGCGGTCTCAAGTTCAGAAAAAAAGAGGGTGGTCGTGTGTTAAGTAGCATAACAGTCAACACACAAAAATTATTGAAACTTGTTGAGTTTCTAAATCAAACTTGAGGAACCCATTAGTGGGCTTGACCCCTAGCTACAGAGTGACTGGTTCGTGTTCAGTTTTCAACTACTAATCCTAGGAAGAGCCAGAGACTCTTTTGCATCCTCAATTGAACTTATAAATGAAGGATGCCTCATTTGTACACACATATATTGGTAGCATTGTCTAATAAATGAACCAATTGGTCTGTGAAAATGGGAGAAAACTAACCAGTATCAATGAAACCAATGACAACATTAACTTGATTCTTGGTAGTGTAACGCCCTCAAATAAAGTACAAGGCAACCATTCGTATAATCCATAAACATAGGAGAAATAGTATATTTCAATTCATCAGTCTTCTTTACAAACATAAGTACATATTAGCATCAAAAGAATGCCCTACGGGCTTACATCTTTCCAAGTAACTCTTTTACAGAATGAGCCCTCGGCTTTATTATACATTTAACATCAAAAACAAATCAACAAAATGGAGTCCTCCATCACCCAAAACCTCTCAAACTAAGACCTTGAAGGCGGCATGTCACTTGTACCTGAAAAATGGTGTCCCAAGTAGGGTGAGCCAAAGCCCAGTAGAGTTATGCTAAACCAAATATTATAATTGACTAAAACATTAGCATTTGATAAATGTTTAACACCTGCAAACCAACTTACATTCTTTCCACAGCTAATCAACATTCACATCCGTTTTTCAATTCACTTCCATTTATTTATCCAAATTAATTCATAGATACAGTTCATTACTTATCCAAACAATTCAAAATGAGACTACAACTCATTCATTAACACTTCAATCATGAATAACATTCATACACTTCCATTCACTTGCCATTTTACGGAACTACGTCCGAGGGAACCGGCACCCAAATATAAATAAGATTTCGGGACTTTCACCCTGGACACTCCGGCCAACTTAGTTATTAATGGAGTCCATCCCTTATCTCCTCCCACACATTGAAGTACATCCCCTATCTCCTCCCAAACAATATACATATACAATGTATTTAAACACTTTGTCATATACAATGACCAATTCAATAACATATTCAATGTTTATATCCAACCGTCATATTCAATGACATATTCCAATTGATTAGTTTCAATTTACCTAATCAACATGCAGTTTCTACAATAATCATGGCCATCCTCCACCGATAGCCCAAAATAGTTATTTCTAAACAGATAAATAATTTATCAAACAGATAATTTATCACATTTTCCATAGGTAAGTGATTTATCAATCCAACTACACCATTTGATCACAATCTTCCCCAATTTCATAATTTCCAAGCCAATTTCATATTTCCACATTGATTTCATCAATTATGCAAATAGTTTACATAATGCCAATTAGGGCATCTACCCCCCTTTTTTTCCAAATGTTGCACTCGAGGCCAAATTCCACCCATTATACACAATAACCTCATTTTTGAGACCACACATACACATGGAACCCCAAAAATAGAAAACCCCTCTTTTATAATTTCAAGCTCAAACCCTAACTTCACCCAAAAACCTCAAATCTCACCATTTATACACTATGACTAAAATTTATATTAAAACTCATAATAAAGAGTAGATTATCCCTACCTCAAGAAGAAAAGATGAGCCAAGCAAGAGATGAACTCCAAAGATGCCGAAATCAACTTCGACTCGGATGAAAATGGAGGTCTTGAGAAGCTCCAACTTTTTAATGAAGGAAGGAGGGTGAAGAGACCACTAGATCTAGGTCAAAATGTAGGGAGAGAGAGAGGGTATTTTAGAGTGAGAAGCTCTTAACTTAGGGTTTTGGAAAGTTTGAGAGAGAGAAATGACAAAAAAAAGTGGTTCAAAATGACCTCTTATCAGACTGAAATACACGTAGTCCGCTCGAGCGTGGGAATCCCCGCTCGAGCGTCAGACACAGCCTTCCGCTCGAGCGTGAAACTAGACGCTCGAGTGTCGAAAGCACACTTCCAGCATCTGCAGACCTGCAAAAATGTTGAAGGCTAAAGAATCCCGCTCGAGCGTCAGAATGGCCGCTCGAGCAGAGGAGCAAATATAATAAAGCCCGTTCAAACGTGAAAAGTCCTGCTCGAGCGGAGAGACCAAAATTTGGGCAACACAGGTTTTAAAAAAAAAAAGGCAACCAACCTGTTCCAAACTCACCCAACACATTCCAAAACTTAAATTCAAGGGCAAAAAGAGAGAAAGACATAAACAATCACATTAAACCACAAGACCCGAGTCCGAAACACCATGAAGGTCGAGTTAGAAACCGGGATCGCTATAGGTAGACTGACTTCCCTATTAAGATCTGTATAAATTATTTACATAATAATTAAATTAATCGAACATTAACAATTATATGATCATATTAGTTTTAAGAAAATTGATTACAATTTTGGATGAAATTGTGACAAATTTGATAAATTATTATACAGCAAGGGATTGCACATCATATACACAATTCACAAAATCATGTAAGTTTTCATAAGATTACATAAGGTATTTCTTCCACAAAATGTAAGTTGAATACAAATTTACATAAATCTATTAAAAAAAATTAAAATTCACAAAATTATGTAAATTTCACAAACTTAAATTAGCTATCTCACAAAAATATATAACTCAAACCATAAATTATATAATAACAGTACATGCAAATAGTATGCAATGTACACCTAGAAGAGTTTATAAATTCAAAATCAATTGAATACTCTTCAACCACCTCGGTTTGGAAGCATAGGCAACTCATTTAACAGCGTAATATGCTCATTGATTCTATCACTCAAAGAAATATCAACATTTCTCTAGCAAGTCAACCGAATGGCACTCTGAATTTTCAAATACAAATTATTATACAGAAAATTGCTCAAACAACGAAATTCTTAAATAAAATGCACTGGTTTCGTTATCTAAACTCGACGGGAAAGAAGAGCTTGAGGGAGAGAGAAATAGAATAAGAAACTGAGAGAGACAGAGAGAGAGAGACAGAGAGAGAGAGAGAGAGACGGTGGTGCTCACTTTAGTAGACGATGGTGCTCGCTTCCCTCGCCAGTGCAGATGGTGGAGGCGGTGGAGCTTCGAAATCTCAAAATCGAAATTGTCAATTGCTCTGAGATTGGATCTGAGATGAATCACCAATCACTCATTGGATTTGAAATGAATCACCAATCGCTCTGGGATTAGATCAAACAGGGCTGAAGAAGGTCGATTCGATCGGTTGAGAGAGATTAGGGTTTAGAGAGGGTTGAGAGAGAGAGAGATCAAGACCAAGCGAGTGAGTGAGAGAGTAACAGGGCCTCAGTTTTTTGTTTTAGTTATTGGAAGTTTTTAAATATTTTAAATAATTTTTTTTTAATTTCAAATAATTTACATATACTTAAAAGAAAAATATTAATTTTTTTTTAAAAAAAAAAATCACTAAATTCAAAAAAATACAAAATTTAATATATTTCATATATATTTTATTTTATTTTTTTACAAATATTTTATTTTTTAGTTGTATTCAGATTAGGCACATCTAAAAAGTAAAAAATAAATAAATTATTAAAAGAAGGAAATATATCAAATCAAGGTAATTTAAAAAAATAATAATTACAAATTAGTGAGAAGCCATATAAATATTAATCATTAAAATTATAAATTTTTTTATGAATATGTAATTTTTTTTCTCAAAATCCCACTGGGTGCAATTATCCCTTAAAAGAGACACTAAATTATAAAATAATGTATAAATTATTTTTTATGTTGTCCTCAATTAGGAAAATTTAAGGTGAGAAGCTTGGTTGGAAATTGTTAGCTTTTTTAAATCAAAAAAAAAAAAGAAAATTGGATTGAAATTTTTTTTTAATAAAAGTTTTCACGACATGCTTATGCATGCCGTGTAAAGTTATAATATTTTATGGCATGAAATGTATGTCGTCTTAAGTACAAATATTTTATGACATATTTTTGTATGCCGTGAAAATATACATTTTTTACGGCATGCTTTTGCATGCCATAAAAAAAATTCAGATTGAATTTTTTTTTTTTTTGCAAAAGTTTTCACAACATGTTAATGTATGCCGTGTAAAGTTATAGTATTTTACAACATTAAATGTATGTCGTCTTAAGTGAAAATATTTTACGACATATTTTTGTAAGTCGTAAAAATATACATTTTTACGGCATACTTTTGCATGCTATAAATATATGAATTAACGACTTACATAGTATGTATGCTGTTATTGACAAAATATTAATGGCTTGTAAAAAAAAAAATATCGTAGAATGTACTAACTACGACATGCATTTAATGCATGTCGTAAATATGATGCCGTAAATAGTTAATTTTGTTGTAGTGAGAAGAAGTTAATTTCAAGATAATTACTACCCAGCCTTGTTAATCGAACTTATTTATTCATGCATTTTCAAAAAAATTTATACGTATTACCTCTTGTTTTGTTAATGAGAAAATTTTGAAACTTTTTAGATGTATTTTACTTGTGAAATAATTATTTGGTACTAGTAATGATATTAATAAATTTATCTAAATGATCAATAATTGAGACATTTTGATTTTTGATTGGGAATTTCGTTTCATTTTTAATTTTTCTGTGTTAATTTATATTAAAATATGATATGAAAAAAAGTAAATAATTAAATTATATATTTAAAAATATTTCAGAAAATTACAAACAAACAAAAATCCAGGATTTGACATTTTTAACAAACTAAAGTCTTAATTTTTAATTTTATCAATTTAAATTATAATCTTTTGATTTATTTTCAATTTAAACTATTAATCTATCTTTATTAAATAAAATCAAATAGAAAATTAATATTTTAATAATTAAAGTTAGGGTGGCTCTATTTATATCCCAAAAATTGAGAGTTTTACTATTAGCACCTACCTTTTTTCTTTGGAACCCTCATTTCTTTTATTTTTTTTAATTCTAATTTTATCCAAACATAAAGTTACATTTTTACGCTCATCCTTAACATTTTAACCGTAATTTTTCAAACCCTAACCCTAAACCCAATTTTCCAAACCCTACCCCACTAACCTTTTCACCACCATTTCCTCCTCTTCCTCCTCCTCCACCACCACCACCACCACCACCCACCACCACCTCTGCCCCGCCAATGAGCTCTTCTACAAAGGCCAACTCCTCTCCCTCCACCTCTTCCCCCCGCCTTTCCATGGTTCGCACCCTCCTCCTCCTCATCCTCCACCACCACCACCATCACCTTCCACGACTCCACCGCCAGCACCACCACCAAGTGCGACTCCTCTCGACCAAGCTTCGTCACTAAAGGCGACGAACTCAAATGCCTCAACACCTCTTTCCACTACCACCACTAGATCAAAAAGTCCAAGTACTTCTTCTTTCTCTCTAAATTCTCCTTTGTTTTCCGCAAATCTCGTGACTCCAACGATAACCCAACTGGGTCCTCCGTCAAATGCATGAGCGCAACAGCTAAGGACAACGGTAAACTGTGCGAACAACACGGAGGCGAAGAATCTGTACATCATATCAGTGAAGTGTATCAAGGGGAGGCTGAATTAGTTACCTTCTACTTGCGTCGGAGACATGGTGATAGCTACCTTAAAGAATAAGAAACCAGCTATTAGGAAGAAGAAGAAGAAGATGAGGAGAGAGAGAGAGAGAGAGAGACACCAGATATGGAAAAAAAAAAAAAAGAGGAAGGCGGTCGCCGGTCGGAGAGGTCACTGGAAGAATAGGACTACCGGTGATGGTAGGAAAATTGTAGAAAAAAAGTTGGGAGTCAAAAAGATGAGGGGTATAGTTGGTATTAAGGTAGAGGTTTAAAGAAAAAAAAATGGAGAGGTTTCATTTTGTTGGGTGGGGTTTCAAAGAAATGGGAGGGGGGCAAAGTAAAGAAGTAGGTGCTAATAGCAGCCCTCAAAATTAAATACTCTCACTTTTTATTACCATTAAGTCCCTGTTTAAAATAACAAAAAAGTACTTAACATTGGAAAAAGTATAAATTAAAATATTTTGAGCACTCCATTCATCAGCAGTCCCAACATTTCTTTTACAATATCTCTCTTCTCTTCTTACTCTATTCACTTTGTATCTTCAAACCTAACCCTATTTGTTTGAATCTATCATTTTTGCATTCTATTTCATATTGAAATCAACAATGGACAATAAAGAAGATGTTTCTAAGCAATTTTCTATTGATAAAGTAAGTTTTCATTTGATATTTATCGTTTTTCGTTGTTTGGTGTATGGAATTGATTCGTAAAATCAATACCGAACAAACTACATTTATTAGGAAACTTGCTTCCAAACAAAATTCAAATATTTGCTAGTGTGTTTTCGAAATAAAGATCATTTTCAGTATTTAATATCCGAACAAATTGTATATGTTTAGCTCTGTTTTTTTGAACATTTGATTTTTTAACTTTTTCAAACGAGTAAATTACAAATACATCCCCTAAGGTTTGATTAAAATACGAATCGCCCCCTGTGGTTTTGAAAATTACATTTCACCCTCTAAGTTTCTAATTTCATAACAAATCGCCACTTTTATTAATAAATTATCAAATCCATTAACAGTTTTAATGATATTAGAAATATGTTTTAGTTAATAATGTAAGTAATTTTATTCGTGTATAATAGAGCAATTATGAATTTTATTTTTTTAGTTAATTATGTTAAATAAAAAATTCTAATAATGAGGTATTTGTAATTTTCCAAACTATAGAGCAATCTGTAATTTAAGCAAATTTCAGGGGGTGTATTTGTAATTTACCCTTTTCAAACTCCAATTTCAGACAAAAATAAAATAAAATAAAATATCTGATATTATATCTCCAATCAAATTATGTATGTTTCATAATAAATAAAATAAAATAAAATCGGTATTGAGTATCCTAAGAAAATTAGATCGATCTGATTATTTTAACTTATTCAATTTATTGCGTTTTTCATAAATATATATATATATATAATTGATTTATTTTTATAAATAAAATTGTTGATTTTTTTTTGTAAAAAAGTGATAAATTGAATAAATTACAATTATCGAATCGATCTAATTTTTTAAAAAATAAAATATACAAAATACTTGACAAAATAAACAATTTATATTATTTAAACGGGTCTTATGGTGCCCACAGGCCCAAACTGCGGTATCTACCTCCTTTTCGAAAATAGTCAATCCAACACAAATGACGTCGTTTCACAGATTTTCAACGTAATTTTCCCTTTCTAAATCTTTTCTCAAATTTCCTAACCAAACACAGCATTAGGGCCCACCACCTTCATGTCAACCCTCCATTAGTCCACGTAATCCACGCAATGTCAACATTCCCTTCGCTCTACTTCTTCGAATTTGAAAATTTTATTTTAGAGCAAATTACAATAAACTCTTTTAAATTATAATTTATTTGCATTTTATTTACCTAAATTTCAAACTCAACAATTAACTCTCAGAGTGTATTACCTAATTAAAGTTAACCTTTTATCAAATTGTGTATAAAATCCATGATTTATTTATTGAATTTTTAAGACAATAATAGTTGTTATTGATTATTTTAAGATAATAAAAGCATCTCCAATCCAACGGTATACTAAAAAGGCTATTAAAAGAAAAATATAGCAGGTGTGGAAAAATATGGTACTCCAAAGATCTGCTATTCGAGCTACTAAAAATAGCAATTGCTATCTCTTGTGTCAAATTTGACACAAATTTTACCTATAGTTGAAGTTGCCAGTATAATAATATTGTCCAAAAATACTGTTCATCTTCTTCTCAATAGACATGTTGATTGTTCGGCCGGTTGTCGTGGGGAATGTCTTGGGGTATAACCTCAACGGTTTAGAGTGGTCAACCTAGGAAATATCCTAATCTTGTATAAAATTTTGTACTTAAGACATCAAATAATTAATAGAGGTTAGAAGAGAGGTGGTTTGTCACGACCCAAACCCGCCCCTATGGGTTTAGCGTCGTAACCGGCCAGTAATCCGAGATTACCAAAGGCCTTCCTGCATAATCAAAATAATCGGAGCTTGCGGAAGCAATAAACAAAAACACCAATAGTCCAACGAGCTGTGCATCTATATGAACAAATAATCACATGCAAAAGCGTTAATTTACCCACTTACATTACATAGCATATAACATAATATCTTATACAAAAACATATGTACGGGTCAAAAGTATATAACATAACCGAAAGGTTGCTAACGGCCTTCCAGGCCTAGCCCCAACTCAGAGGCATCCAAAACACTTAGTAGGCATCAAAACGGTGGCTCGGTTCAAGACTCCGCCTAGGCTTGACTTTCGGGACGC